AAAACAAATGTACCTTTGACCATATCCCATCAGCCCCAACAAGAAGATCTCCTTCAAAACATTGACCATTTTCAAGTTTCACCGAAACCTGAATTTACATAACAAAAAAGATTTATATCATTCATACATAATACTCTTACAGGGTAATTAAAGTGGAAAAAAAGAAGCAGGAAAAGGAAAAAGAAAATACTACCTTTTGACCATCATCATTGAAGTCAACTACATTGCTTTCGTTCATAATAGTATCTGAGCCAACCGCACGAGCAAGGATTTGCTGCAACGTCATGCGGCTAATAACTCGGGTGACTGGGAGCCCACGTTCGGCTGCAGGAGTGAATGTATCGAACTTGACATACCTGGTAAATTTTCAACATTTTATACTCTTTCTCATTGAATTACATACAAGATTCAATCCATAAGTATAAAACAGCTAGTTTCCTGAAGTTAAATAATATGCAGGCTTATAAGCAAAATATGGTTAAGGCAATAAGGACAAAAAATGAAAAGGTTAAAAAAATGTCAGTTTTATGCAATAAATGCAATTTTATGTTTTATCAAGCTATAGTGAATCAGGTACAGCACAATAAGCTCAGGTAGAATCATTCAATTGAATTGTATTTTGTCCTCAGTAGTAGGGTCTAACTAGCCACCTCCAAGTACTTCCACCTAATTGGCTAATTCACATCAGTAGAATTTAAACAATCAAACTCTGATCACAAATTGCTGACTATAAAACTCTATTCACAGGCCGCCCAACATTACTGCCCATTAATTAAGCATTGACACTATGTAAACCACAAAAAAACTAATCTTGATCAATAAATCAACACAATATTTTAACCAGGAAGAAATTTACAACACATACAAGGATTCAGCCACAAATATTCAGCATGTCAACTAACTAATGGTTATAAATGAAAAATAGAAAAATGAAATACCAATTTCCAGAAATCCCATCAACCAAGCCATTAATCCTATCGCCAGTTATGCACCCAGCGCTCATAACCTCCTCGGCAACCTCCATATCAATGGCCTCCAAAGCAGCCAAAGCATTGCTCTGAATCTGAATCGGGCCTCTGTACTGACCTTCTCCTCTAATGGCGCTCAAGTCCTTCTCGAACACCACCACCTCAAAACCTTTCCTTTTCGCCGCCAGCGCGAAAACCAGCCCCCCGATCCCACCGCCGGCCACTAAGACCCGAAGCTTCTTTTCGGCCGGCGGGTTTGAGTTCTCGCCGGCTAAGGCCGGCCCGGATTTTCCCGGAGCTCCGGCTAAGCCGGCCCTCACGGCCCGGCTGAGTTTCTTGAAAATTGGCCCGTTTTCCTGGTTTCTGATTTGGGGTTTTTGAGAATCCTTGGGAATTAGAAAGGGGAAATGGGTTCTCGAAACTATTGCTACAGATGAGAAATTGATTGGGTTGTAGAGCACGGCCGAGCTCATTTTTGTTCTTCTCTGTTCAGAGTGAAATAAAGCTGGAATCTTTCCGAAAAAGGAAGCTTGCTTGTGCTTCTTTATTTCTCCTCGGTTTCAATCTGAGGCAAACTCAGGCAGGTAAAGAAAGTGTGTGTTTGTGTGTGTGTGTGAGAGAGAGAAAGAGAGAGAGAGGGCGCGCATGTGTGGGGCAAGAAGAGTTTGGAGCCAATCTCATTCTCAGAAGCTGCACAAATGGTGAAGATTTTCATTGACACGTGGCAGGACCTTGTTGCCTGTATTCCTTTTCCGCCGTTTGAAAACAATATGAAATATCTTTTGCACTTCATTCATGTGTCTGTGGTGGAGCTATTTTAAATAAAATATTTTAATTTTATCTTTTTCCGTTTAGTTTATTGGATGATAATAAGCCCTTCTCTTCTTGTTGACCAGCTTGTGATCCTGTTCTGATCCGATGTTCACGATTGATTCAATCAACAAATCGAGATTTTCTCACATGGGAATTTCTTGTCTTTATTTGAATTTTTCCATTTTTCATTTTGAAGTGTGTCGTCCTAAAAGTTAATGAGTTTACATATTGTTTAAGGATACAACAACGCTGTTTAAATTAAGGAGGGTTTTCAGGGATGAATATTAATCAAAACTAATTTTGATTGGATTTTAAGTTAAAGTGAATAAATTCTAAATAAAGTTGAATTCTGATTGGGTTTAAGTTAAAGTGAATAAAATTTAAATAAATGTATTGAGTTGAAGACTAAGTAGAATTTTGAATTTGTATTTAAATAATGTTGACGACTGACATCAACCATAATAAATAGAGCGGCTTAAGGGCGCAATTATGTGGATTATTGCAAAACTTATGGGGGAATTAATGTGTTTTATTACATGTCGATTGATGCTAGAGTATAGAAACAAACTAAATATAAAGATAACTAGATCATCGAATGGATAAGAGATCGACACAAAGAAAGACGACATAGTGGGTATTTTTTTAAGGACTCTTGAGAATTCTGATCGTGTTCTTCTTAAGAGCTTCAAGAGCATAATTTATTAAGAAAAAGTAGAAAATTCATCATTACTGTTAGCCAGCTAATGGTGCAGGGGAGTGACACGCTTTCTCATGCAAAAAATACGTCTTTTGATGATGGGACTGACTCGACTGTCAATTTATCAGTTTGTTTTGTTGATTCTTGTTCGCACTTTAGAGAGATCGGCAATCTTCAGCAGAAGGTACTGACCAGTAGATCGACATCCAAGTTTAGATGAAGATTGGCACAGGTTTGGTGGTGTAACTTCTTGGGCTGGTCCTTTATATAAGTTGGGCCCAATATGTGATAGATTTAATTTTTGTCGTAGACGAAGCATTTTCTTAACTTAACGGGTCAACCCAAAAGCGTATAAGTAATTTTTATGCACAACAAGGAGGCCCCAGGTTTCCAGGGGCATACAGGGCCGTCAGGTTGCCTTGTGCCCGGGAAGTTGTTTGTTAGTCCGTTTAAACTTTTGATGGAACCTTTCGTGTGGGATCGCCAATTCTTTTAGGTATCGATCAACGTCAGTTTTAGTATTAGGCAGGGAATTGGACAAAATAAGGTGTTTTTTCGACTAATCCATTTAATGAAGAGAGAGGGAGAGAGAGAGAGGATAAAGACGTTTCTAAGACAGGCGCGTCTTTTTGGGCTCGAAAGGACAGATGTTGGCGAGAGGAGACATCAATTTACAGATCTTGACATGAATGGATGCGACCTTCGGACTTTGCGCCTTGAAGTTAACTGGTCGTAGTGGTTGGGGAAGAGAGGTTCCTTTTATAAATAGGATATGACAAGAACTGAATAGTTTTCTTTACTTTTTGAGGTTGAAATATTTCCAAAGTTAGGGCCCTTTGTCTCAATTTTCTTCAAACATGTACCTTTTTTACTCTATTTTTCTCTTTTTTTTTTTCTTTTAAAGAAAAACCAAATAGCGATGTCGGAGTATATTGATTACGACGTAGAGTTAGTAAATGTTGCATTGGCTGGCGATCGGGCATTTTAAGGGAGGGAACCAATCACTAGTATGAGTGACGTTCGAGACATGTAAGTGCAGATTGAGAAGGATGTAGATGGTCCAACGCCGGACGAGTATTGGAGGCACCGTCGTTAGAGGAACTGTCTGATCCCGGAAAAATGAAAATTTGCCAACATGCGAGTACGTTGAAGGATCTTGACACAGTGAAGTTGAGGGAAAATATGAAGTTCTCGGATCAGTAATAATGTTCTTGCCGTATCAGAACAAGTGGGCCCACTGTCCGCTGCCACAGTGCGTTGTTGTGTAACGGGAATCCATGGTGTCAGGATTGAGGTTCATTCTTCATGAAGTTATTTTAGAATATTTACGAGAATTGGGGATCAACTTGAGTCAGGTTCTCTCGAACACTTAGTAGTGATTATTTTTTTGGTCGTCTTGTTTAAGAAAAAGAGTTGGCCGACACTGTTTGTAGAGAAATTAGATTCCATTTTAATGTGGAAGACGTCGAAGGGGGGATAAAGATACTTTTATTTGGCACCGCCCGATGAAAAGTATGCCAATCTAGTGAAATATATACCTGAATCCTGACATAAATGGAGACATGACTAGTTTTGGGTGTCTGGAGAGTGGAAAATCCGTCGATCTTCAGGGAGTTAATTATAAATGTCGATTGCCCTTGTGGATAAAAAGAGTTAGTTTTTGTTGATCTTTCACAAAATTCAAGAGCAATCTAATTGTGTTTAATTTTTTCTTCTTGGTGCAGCGAGAAGGTTGTGCCGCTTTTTGGTCTGATATTCGAATGTAAATTGGAGATTATTTTGGAAATAACGATACCCGAGAGGAGTTGTCTATCCTTGACCGAGAACGTGGATTTCTCTTGGGCTGGGTTACATCCGAAGGCTGACGATACATCTATTAAACTAGGTGTTTCTTGTATTTTTATACAATGTGGCGATCTATCATGATCACTCATCGTTATTGGGCTGGAAATTTCTAAAGAAAGGGCCTATGTTTCCCCACATGTTGTTTTTTTTGTGATGGCTTAACTTTTAGTAAGGCAGATAGTAGACAAGTGATTGCGCGTCGCGACGCGGCAAATTTCGAAACTCTGATGTTCTCTCACACGATGTTTATTACTAATTCTCCAATTTTGCCAACGCAGATATATTGTTGTTTCTCAATGCAGTGGATCTGGGTTATCAATTGGAATGCAGCTTCGTCTTCCTGGCATAGAAAATGTACATCGTGTTCTTAAAAAAAAACTAAATAAATAAATTGGAAAATAGTTTATGTGTCATTATAATGTATTAGTTTAATATGTAATGTACTGATGGTTGAAAATTTTGACCATATATTGATAATTCTTAAAATGATCAACGGTAAATGGTAGGTATATTGTTATACAGAGAGGATAGTCTGCAGATATATAATTTTGTATACAATGAAAAATTTTAAACTGACAAATAATTTATTTTATTATTTTATATTATTGAATTTAAACTTTATTTAATGCTTAATATAATCAAATTGACCTTGATTATGCATGTGAACAAGTAAAAGAGCGTTAGTTTGTGTTTGTTGCATGTAGTTTCCATCAGGTAGAAAAACAAAGGAAAAAAAAACCGCCTCAATATTATTAATATAATTAAATAATATCAATCAATCATCGTCACACATCACCTCATTTCAATTCACTATTCATCTACTTCCATTTACCATTTTCAATCACATATTTCCTATTTTTACATCAGATCAACTTTAAACATTTATTTTAAATAATATATTATAACAAACTCAAAATCTCCTTCAAACATAACTCAACCAACTTTTTCAAAATTACTTTGGTTAACTAAAAAAATCCAATAAAATTACTTTAATTTTTTAGTTTACCTCTGAAAAAAAATGTTGTCACCTCCGAAATTAAAATTTAACTTGATTAACAACTCAATTCCCAACAAATTATTTTGTTTACACGAACCAAATTTTTTTATTTCTTTTAACAAACAACTTATTTTTCGTTATTCCAGAGTTGGTTTCATGATTGGAATCTTGACTTCATATACAAAAAATGATATGGCGTGATATAACACTATTGATTTTTTGGGATTCATCAACAATATTCATATATATTTTAGTGTATCTAACAACTCAGATTCCCAAAAAATTATTCTCTATACCCAAGTTTCAAAATTTTGTTCTTTTTTAACAGACGACTTATTTGTTTGGCTATTCGAGAGTTGGCTTCATGATTGAAATCTTGACATCATATACGAAAAAGATAAGACATGATATTACACTACTGACTTTTTGGGGTTCATCAACAATTTTCATATATGTTTTAGTGTTTGTTTTGACATTTCTCACAATTAGCTAAATTATGGCGTTTAAACTCTTTTCGAAAGACAATTGCCAAAAAAAAAAAAAATGTGCATATAGATCAAATAAGAAGGCACTAATTTCAGAGTGGAATACATTGAACAATTACGTTGTTCAGTGATATTATATTTTAATAGTAGCATTTATAAAACTTTTTTTGTAAATGTAGAACTTTACAATCAATTATCGTCACACATCACCTTACTTCATTCACTATTCATCTACTTCTATAGTTTTAACTACTTATCACTTTCAATCACCTCTTTCCTACTTTTATATCAGATCAACTTTAATTATTTTATTTTAAATATTATATTAGAACAAACTCAAAATCTCCTTCAAACCTAACTCAACCAACTTTTTCAAAATTAATTTTATTTAACTAAAAAAATCAAATAAGAAAAAAACCTTGTATACAAGCAACACCTTAACTTTCATTACTTTAATTTTTTACTTCACCTCAAA